AGAGAGAGAGAGAAAGAGAGAGAGAGAGTGTGAATGTGAGTATGATGGAGGGATATTATGACTTGGATCCCAAACGTGAAGCATGAAACCTAATTTCTATATGGACCCCTCTAGCTTTTGCCGCAGTGGCCCAAGGTAAGCGCGCGTGTGTACCATTGCAGATCCTCGCCATCAGTGCAGCTAGCGGCTACTCCGGCGGATACTTCGGTAACGTGGGCGGGTACGGGAGCATCGGGCACGGCGTCGGCTACCCTACTCACGGAGGTTACGGCAGCTACGACGGACACGGCTATGTTCGCGGCCGTCGCGGTGGTTACGGCGGCCATGGTGGCTACGGCGGCCATGGCGGCTACGGTGGCGCCGGCCGCTACGGTGGTCGCGGTGGCTACGGCGGCTCTGGTGGCTACGGTGGCCATGGTGGCTACGGTGGAGCCGGCCGCTACGGTGGTCATGGTGGCTACGGTGGCGCCGCTGGTTTCGGTGGCGGCCGTGGCTATGGTGGTTACGGCGGCCACGGCGGTCGCCAAGGATACGGTGGGATCTACGGGTATCTACCCTACGCGCCAACGACAAGCTATGGGTACGGTTACGAGACCTACCCGAAGCACGACTCCATCTTCAATCCATTCATCATCGAAAGGCAGGCGACCTACATCGCGAAGGCCAAATATCATTAGCCCGTCGACCTGCAGCTACTAATCACTCGAGACGTCGTTAACCGTGTGTGCTGCTGAGGACAAGCTGAACATTTTTTCTCGGACAGTTCGTTACTACTACTGCTCATGCCACGTGTCATTACCAGCACGATTAGGGACAATGGAGACTTGTTGTTGGAAAGTTCATTCTTAATGTTCACACGCAATGTCATCGGCCGTGCTATAATGCCAGCTTAATTTGTTGTCGTGTAAAAGGTGATCGCTAATGGTCGTGTGTAGTCGCTAATAACGTACTGTGAGATATTACTGAGGATTGTTGTCAGAAAGCTCATATTTATAGAGTATATATATATATATATATATATATATATATATATATANCTGTTGTTGGGGGCACTATGACAGCATAGTGCCCCCAACAACAGGCATTAATGTTTTTAGTGCATCACATGACTTTGCAATCTACTTGGCAAATATGAAGTGAATAAGAAAAAGTTTTCTAAAGGCCAAGTTTCTGCCTAACAAAGTTTCTTAATGCAGTAATCCTATGGGCGCCAGTGACGCGATCGTGTTGTTTTCACCGGCGTTCTGCTGGTGATCACGTGACTACTGACCTGTGACGTAGCTCCGCCCGCACCTATATATATTTACAAGAAAGAATAAAAATGTACTGACACCTACCGTACTAACTATATTGTATCATATATATCCATCTGCTGTGTGCGTGTTTCATCGGTCTCTAACGTTAATTAGCTCGTCTTGAGGTGTAGCTTTTTTCTCTAGTTAATTGTAAACTTGAAACTATTACTACACAGGACAGGATATCGTTTGGTCGAATGCTGCAGTGCACTGTGACGTACTAGTCAAATTTAATTATACAAAATTTATTTATTTCATAAGGTTTACAAATGGAAACATTTTTCCCCGGTACCCTAATACCCAGCAGGACCATATTGCATAAGTATATTAGAAATTGTGCTGTAATAAAAGTTTGGGAGCGATTCTTTTGCGGACAGGACAGGATATCGTCTGGTCGAATGCTGCGGTGCACTGTGTCGGACTAGTCACATTATTAAACAATAATTTATATATTCCATGAGTTTACAAATGAAAAAAATGTTCTGCCAAGGTCCCTAATACCTAACAGGACAATATTGCACAAGTATATTAGAAATTGTGTTGTATTAAAAGTTTGTAAACTAACGAGGTACGTACTGACATGCTGGAAATGTATCTACTCTCGACCAGGGCCGGCCTTGTGTTGATTAGTTTGGGCGTGCATGTATGGTGTACACCGGCTCTCAGACAATAAGCCGGTCCATCTCTTTATCCTATTTCTTATTGCTCTGAACTGTCGTCTTACGGTTTTCTTTATTCCGTCTCTGTATAATAATGCTGCCGCTATATGTTATTAATAAATTAGACATATGCGTTGAACCACACGCGTACAATTTCCCCTTCATCGTTTCCCTTTGTGTTTTCTACCCTGTGGATACTAGGTGCGTTCACACTGGCGCGAATTAGCGGGCTGCAAAACCCGGTTTTTGCAGCCCGCTCGAAAAACTGAGCTTTTTACAAGTGTGAACGCAATTAGCTCACTAAATCGCGCTCCAAATAGCGTGCTCCAAAGACCACTTCCGACTGGGCTAATTTGGAATCAGCGCGCTTATTTGAACCGCGCCGTGATATTTGCACCGCGGCGATTAGCGAGATATTCGCCTGTGTGAACAACGACACAATTAGCTCACTATTATCTTCGCTATTAGCGGGCTGAGCAGCGCGGTTTTTCTTGTGTGTGAACGCGCCTAGTGTGTGTAGAATGATAACGATGATTTAATGAAGACATACCACGCCTTTTTCATATAGCGAAACAGCTTTATAAGCCTGGGTAAACCCCTTGTCGTGAGTACGGGGGACTGTAAAACGGTTATGGGTGCGAACGCGGGTTATCACAGTTGTTCGACGTTATTATATTATACGTTATATCTGCCTTCTAATGGTATTGGGCGGACGGGAGACATCAATCCCCTTTAATTTGTCGACGCGTACCCACATTGCCTGTCCATTGTGTGCGGTCGTCGTGTACATAATATCAGGAGTAAGATAATATAGTAGATCCTATATTATCTTACTCCTGATAATATATATATATAGAGAGAGAGAGAGAGAGAGAGAGAGATGTAGTCAGGCGTCCACTCGTAGCTACGTTACAGGCGTGATCGAGTCGTTAGCAACCACGAGCAACAAATTGATTACGCCACGAGAGAAATAAAATTGTGACGCTAAACTGGGTCAGCGCACCGGGCAACGGTTAGTATCGAACTGGAAGCGGAAGAGAACGGGGCAACCTTTCCAGCGGAGAGTATACATCATCATCATCGTCCACTCGCACACGGACAGACGAAGAGGTGGCGCGCTTCATTCTAACAATCGTCTGCGGGTTAGGCCTGCTCACGTTCGGTAAGAGAAATTACTATCCATGCTGGCTTTTCTGCTGCTTTGTCTTCCAGCAACTAGCATCTCGCATAAAAATTGCATATATACCTACTGTATTGCTACTTTCACAACATTTCTTCATAAAATCTAAACGAAATTTACGAAAGTAGCACCATAGGATGTTTACAGTGTTTACACATGCGGTACACAGCCGAGCGAACGTTGTGCTGCATTAACAGTTCTTTTCGCTCAGAGTAGCGTTTACACCTCCATATCGTGACTTTGGTTAATGAGGGGGTAGGTACACTCTTAAAATTTTACATAGGTCTTTTTGAGGGTGTTGTCAACTCATTTCTAGCAAGAAAGAGGTCATTTGTTGTCGCAAAGGCACAACAATACGTTGTTTCACCCAGCAACCTCACCTTGTTTTGACGATTTCTCACGATTTTACGGCTCGCGTATTTCACGCGATTTCAGTTACCATTCATGTCATGCGGCCGTCGTATTTCTCCTCCATTTTGCCCGGGCCACTTACGCAGTGATATAACTTTTTTTGAGATCTGGGGTTTTCTGGGGTTTTTTGGGCGTCGATCTGGGGTTTCCCCATTTTTCAGAGCGGTAACACTGATAAGTGTGCATAGCGTGCAGCGGCGCAGCAGCGTAGCAGCGTGCATTCGGTGGGCGTGTGTTTGCTGTCCTTGGATCATTTGCAGCACGGCTTGTCGGCAATAATACTAGGTGAAGGAGAGTAGAGAAACATTAAGACTTTGCTAGTAAATAGATTTCGTATTTATTTAGCATTACATTTTATTGAAACGCTCCAAGTGCCTGTGTTACGGCTCGGCATGTACGCACGCCCGTTTGTGTGTGTGTTTGTATGCGTGTATGCTTGCATGTATGTGTCTGTGTGTTTGTTTGTGTGTGCGCGCGCGTGTGTATGTTTGCTCGTATCTCGTCGTAGCATAATCCAGGCCTAGCTTTTCGTCTGTTCGATGTAATCGTATTGTGTATTACTGGAATCGATTCTATATAAAATTAATAATCACCTGATAAAAGAAGGGGGACGGGCGGATGAGGAGAATAGTGAAGAGAAGGAGTTGGAATAGTAGTAGTATAGCAGCAACAGCGGTGGTAGCAGTAGTACGTAGGAGGAGGTGAGGGGGAAGAGCAAAATGAGAAGGAGTGGAGGAGAGAAAGAAGTTAAATGAGGAGAAGGAGGGGGAGGTGCAGGAACAGGATTGGGTGGAGAAGGTGACGGATGAGGAAGAGTAGAGGTCAGGAAACACTGCAGCGACAAACGACCAACCGTAATGTTTTGCGCCAAAATCGCAGCCACATTGCTGGTGTGGGGTAGGTTCGTCTCGTTTCTCGCTACGCAATGGCAGACAATTCAAGATTGTAAATTCGAGAGTGTTGAATGTAACGTGGGCATATCATTGATGTCGAGGTCTAGTGCCGAGGAAAACTAAATGTTTACGTATAGCTGGGGAGTTTTGCACGATAAATGCCCCAGTTATAAAATAGAATTTCCCTAAATACATAATAATTTTTGTTCAAAGACGCTGCTGCAATCCAAAGACAGCCGAGCAGTCAAATTTTCGTAACGAAATTTTTTGTCACTTGCCGATAACAACATTTACAGCTGTGTTTGGCTATCTTTAAATTATCGCCCCATCATATGTCGCTGGAAAATACGCACGATTCTAAATCTTTCGTCGTTATGATTATTGCCGGACGTTATCGTGTGCGTGTGAAACAGCTCATTGGAAACAGTAGCTTTTAATTTTCTTCAATTACGCCAAACGTACGATCGGTCGTTGTCGCTGCAGTCTATCTCCACCTTAGGTGGCCTAGGAGGAGCAGTGCCCTATCTCCTACTTCTCCTCCTTCTCCTTACCTAACTCTTCCTCCACCACCACCTTCTCCTCCACCACCTCCTTGCCCATGCAACTCTTCCTCCTCCCCCTCTTCCTTCTCCTCCCCTCCCCCCTCCTTACCCACCTCCTCCTACTCGCTCCCTCTTCACCCTCCTTCGCCTGTCTACCTCTCATTCCTTCCATTCTCTTCACCATCTTTCTTCTCTTTGTCATCACCACCATCCTCCTATCCTGCTTTTCCTAATTACCTCTCCTCATCTATTATTACGAATGTGACTAATCAAATCACCCCGTGACTCTGTGTATATAGATTACCTTGCTCTATGGCAGACCATGCAGTACGCCCGTACATAATCCACGGGGACAGAAACGAATACTAACGCAATCGGAAGTAGAGGTATCTGGGACGCGTAAAGGCTACATGCGTTTTAATGTTACACATACCTCTGCTGAACGCGGTTGGTTATGTTTCAGGAGGCAGCTGTTGTATGTCGATCCGAATATCTGGCGCGACACTGGTGGATACATCTTCGAGGGGTTCGTTGATCTCAGTGAGACGTACGCTTGCCACATGTGGGTGGATGGCCGTTTCAGGAAGATGTCGGTTGGAGTTAACAAGGGTGATATAAAACCTCAAGACGCGTACCTTCTTAATAACACCTTCGGTGATCTGCTGCTCAAGTTTTACGTTCATGCTTACTGGTTGGG